CCTCCCGCCCCACCCCCGAGTCAGCTGGAGGCAGACTTGGCAACGGAAGCTAGCATCATAAAATGGTGCAGTAATAGAAGTAACTGGACCAGGAAGAGGAGGCATCTGCTCCAATGATGTCATAGCCATTGGTGGCCACAGGGGGGTTGGACTGGTCATGCAGCCTTGTGTCAGGAGTAATGATTGTAGAGGGGCGGGGCATGAAGAGTGCCATTCTGGAAACAGTGCTGTCGAGAAGCAATATATTCTGCATAACTGATTGTCACCTTCTCACTTCGGTACCTGTGTAAGGAAACAGGCAAGGGTATTATGAACCCCAAACACTTCATTCAGTCAATTCACTCAGCAGAGAAAACCAAAAGCTTATTCCACATTTTGAAAGAATAAAATGGAAGACCAAGAGCAACCTTATTTACAGAAAATGAAAGACAGCACAAGAAAACAATGTTGTTATTACAAATGAACAAGATGAAAAAGCACAATCACAATACCCCTGAGAATGTGTTTTCTGCACATCCCACTTTTAAACACTATATATGCTGATAAGGCTGCTCTTAAGCAATCTGCTACTGGGGTCTGAAGGAAGAATTTCAAGTCAAATTACATGGGTGGCAGACTGGAAGATGACTGCAACCAATGCCCAGCGTAAACTGCAAATCTTTCAGGTTAAAATGTGATAAATTGACAGAAATGCAACCTCAATTTGCAAAAAGCAACAAACAAGTTATTTATAACCAAAAGGGCACAGATACCTAATTCTGGGTCAAATTCTCATGAAGCAGGTTAAAGGATCCTGGGGCTATACAGGACAAGTCTCAATTCTTGGATGAATATGCCATATATCACAGGGTCATCAGGACAGAATTCATAGCACTGTGGCTTTGCTCTGGAAAGAGCCATGAGTCAGGATGCGAAGCATGGGGTGTTACAAACCTATGGAGCCTACTACAGACCACAGGAGCTGGGTGTGACAATCCTTACCCAGAGCCATCTCTTTCCCACTGTAATCACTCCTCCACTGCAAGGTGATTATTCCTGAATTTTGACAGGGAAATGGCTGTTCAAATAAATTATAATAATAATAAAATAATAATAATGCTTTGTATCTGAAGCTTTTTGTTTTTTGTTTTTGGAATCCAAAGCATTTCAAAAACACTGGGTTATCTTCCAAATAGACCTGTGAGGTCTATATGATTATTCTGCATTTTACAGATCAGGGGACCAGAGGCCCACAGAAGCCCACAGAAGCTAAACCTCTCTTGTTTTTTATTTCAGTAGGGATGGGAAGAGAACTGACATCTACTGCCTGGCCCTGGTCTAGAAATTCCTCATATATTACCTTACCACAACCTGAAAAAAAGGCCTAAGGCATTATCACTCACTTTTTATAGACAGGAAAGTTTTTTACACTCAAGAGGCAGAATAAGTGACCCAGGTCACATGGCTAAGTGGTGGAGCTGAGCTTCAGACCCCAACTCTATGTACATTCTACCACACTAGGCAGCCTCCCCAAAAAAGCATTCTCCCCAAACAGGCAGAGGTGTTTCCTTTTAACTCTTCATAAAAAGCATTTCTGACTACTCCTTTAACATGCCACCTGACTGCGTCAGCCTCCCCCAGTGGGTCTGGCACAGACACCCACCACTTGCTCAGTGGCCTCGCCCTGCTTCCACCTGCACTCAGCTTAGCTGTAGGGACACTCAGGAGGCTGGGGAATCTTTGCCTTTGCTGCCAGAGCCTCAACCTCACCAAGAGACAGCAGAGACATTTTTTTCTTCCCCTTTCCATCAGAAGTACCCTCCATCCAAGCTCAACTAAATTAAAACGACAAGGAAAATGAGACGGGTTTACCTGGTAAGTTTGATCGTTTTTCTGAATTCACTGGTAATCGGCGCCTTAAAGCCACCTTTCCTGAGCAAGGAGTCTATTGTCTGGATCTGATCCCAGTCTGAGGAGAGGAGACACACACTGAGGTCGTGAACAATGACAGAGTGGGGCATCTCTAACACAGGGAGAGGGGAGAAGTGGCCACACCTGCTGGGGAGGGGCAGAGGAAGCCCTGGGCCCTGAGTTGTCTGACAGTTCAAGGAAAATCCTGGAGACGTGAGATTATGGCCTGATACAGCCATACGGCTACCTCCAAGCCCCTGTTCCTGCACCTTTCCTGTCAGAGGTTATCCCAGTGTAAGTATCTAGGAACAAACAAGGTCCCAACTTAGACTGGCTTGTTGACCTAGTGCTGGTAATCAGGGCTGTTCTGTGGAAAAGAGAATTCGAATTCTGCAGCTTCCACTCCTTTGTGTGGCTGGCCTTCCTTCATTCTGATGATTTCTAGGAGTCCAGTTTTCTATTATAGAGACTTGACAGTAGGAAAGAAGCTACTCCTTTAAAAAGGATGGGAAAGTTGTTCACATATAGCTGTTGTGTTGTTCTTGCATATTTTTAACAGGTAAAACTAAATATATCAAATTAAAAACCAAATAAAACTCCCTAAATTATTGCAGTATGTACCACTTTTTAATTTTTCCAATCATTATTCAAATGCCAAAAGTAATCTGATTATTTACCTAAGTTATCATCACATCTCAGTATTAGAAAATAGTTATGGGGTGCCCCCTTGTAGAGAAATGTGAGATTTATGATTCCAAATAGGTGGATAAAACGTTTCCATTTTATGTCACATCCTCACTGCTTTTGAAAAAGTTTAAACACAACCCAATAAAAACCAACAAGGCAGCTCGCTTTCCACATAGTTCACTGACATGTTGAGCTGGACATTTCTATTTCAGGTTCCCATCTAACAAATATAGTGTGCGTTAATTTACAGAGTAATTTAAAAACAGAATTCCAAGAAAGAAAGAAAATGAGGCTGCACACCACAGAATGCATAAGCAACATTTAAAGGTATTGTTTTAAAGAGAAAACCTGTCCAACCTATTTCCGACCTCCAATGTCGCAATTTAAGAACTTACTAACTACCAAGTTCTTTTTTCCCCACACCCCCAATACTACAGGAGAAATTATGTTTTGCCTTTTTCCAAGTATAATACTGTTGTTTTTTTGTTTTTTGTTTTAAATATATCTTTATTGATTTCAGAGAGAGGAAAGGAGAGGGGGAGAGAGAGAGATGGAAACATCAATGATGAGTCACTAATCGGCTGCCTCCTGCACGCCCCTGACTGGGGATCAAGCCCGCAACCCGGGAATGTGCCCTGACCGGGAATCGAACCCCGACTGCCTGGATCCTAGGTAGACGCTCAATCGCTGAGCCACGCCCGGCTGGGCTATAATACTGTTTAATAATTCATGACCAAGAGTCCATGGGCTGAGATGGGCAGCTTCCCTTTACATTGAATTCCACAATGTGTCAAGTTGATTGGTAGAATTTTGCTACAATTACCAATCTTGGGAGATAAGAAAAAAAGCTATTCACTAAAAGTCAAACAAGCAAGTAAGTAGAACACTTTACCCCTTTTCTTTTCCCAGCTTCCGTATCTTTTAATGTTTACTGCCCCTTCCATAGGAATTGGACAGATATTAAAAGGGTGCTCATTCTTAGCAGCAGCTGGGCTGAAATACCACACACCACTTCTCTGCCCATTAGTCAGCAACACTATGTACAGTAACTTTCACCGAAATTCCATTTGTCCAACTCACCTTGTTCCTTAGCAACCTCAGGTAAATATGTGGCTGTACGTTTGACACCTTTTTCATTGATGAATTCAATTCGAATCCCATGAACCCCTACCTACAGAAAAAACACACACAACCAAATAAATGGCATTTATTTATTCTAAAGGAACTTCAGCCATACACATATAAACTGACATTGTCTCCTGACCAGCTTGACCCAGGTCTGAGAAAAGGAGAACCTCTTGATTTTCATCACTAATGAATGCTCTCTCAAATACAGAAGCCAAAAAAAATAGCTTGAGGTGTGATTCCACATGTAGTCACCTGAGAGTATAACGTTTATAGAAATAAATTCTTTCAATAGCTCATCTGATAATCTTGAATATTCTACCTTCAATCTATCCCATTAAATGAACATGCCACAGGGTTTTGATCTGGGCTCACGACTCTTCACAAGTGACTCTAAATAACAACTTTCACTCATGGGCTCACCACGAGGGATCTGGAACGCTGTGCTTTACCCTCACTGCTACTTGGCAGGCACAGGAGAAGGATGTGAACCAGAACGGACTGGGAAGAAGGCAGAGCAGCCTTCATAATTCTTTCTGCTTCTACTACTGTAGAACCTTTTCTGTCACCTATGTTGCCCATAACTGCTTCCAAACTCAGGTTTCACATTCTTATACCCTCTCAGTCAAGGAGATACATCACCATGTACTAACCCGAACCCAAATGCAACGAGAGATGCAGAGTTCCAAATGCAGCTGTTCTCACCTCCCAGTCCAGGTAATCACTGGCATCCTCAAAGTTAGTAAGGAGGGAGACAGAGCAGGAAAGTTTAGGCAGCTCCTCTCGGGTCAGGGGGGGGAATCGGCTGTCCTTAAGTGCACTGCAAGGGGACAAAAAACGTAAGTGAGGCTACTCTGGAGGTGGGAGCATGTGACTAAATATTTATGACTTGAGCTATGCAGAGAACTTCTATCATCCATTAATGCTAATGTGCTAAAAAACAACTTGATGCTATTAACTGTTTATACTGGAACTGGTAAGTGACTCACCAGATTAGAGCCTCCACATTTCCTGATTACCAAACAGAGAACACTCATTCCTTATTATTTTGAAGACATAAAGTCAGGCAGTTGTTTTTGATTCTGTAGATAAATTTGATCGTGAATGTTTCCACCGATTTTATGCCTCGTGTAATTACCTGGTTAACGTGTATTCCCTGAGTCCTGAATGAAGATTCATGGCTGAGAAGGTCCCAATGCAGCCACGAAGCCGCTTGTCCCGCCCTGTCTTCCATGTCACAAAGAGTGGACTAAAAAAGCAAAACACAAAACACTCTCCAGCCCCAAATCAATCATGGATAAGAACAAAACCTTGGCTTTATTCCTGTTCATTTGTTATTCCCCAAAAGGATTGTTTTCTGAATTGCCAGCTATCTGAAGGACTCCTCCTTTCTGGGAGTCACGCAGTCCCTTGCGGGAAATGGAGAGGACAGCTCAACAAGGCAGCATGAGAAAGGCTCTCTGGGCAGCCTTTCCCATGTGCCTCGCTGACACATGTATGTGCTATGCTCCTCTTCCTCTGTCCAGTACTTTTTTTTCTTCTAATTCTCCATGTATTTCTCCTCTTCATGAAGACACACTAGGCCTGTACACCACCTCCTCATCTGCAAGCACTCCCTGCAACCCCACACTGTTTCCATAATTATTTCTGCTGCTGGTAACCACAAATATCTCCTGCTCATAAATGTTCAGAAAAGAAAAAGTGTTTCCTGGAGAGCTTAGTATTAGCAGAAGTTGCCATTTTCTGTTTCTAGGCAAAAGTCATGCTTCATTAGGATGCATCAGATTGACAGTGACAGGTTTTTAGAGGTCACAGGTCTGTCCCTCTTCCTGAGATTCCTCCATGCTCCTATGCCTTCACCTCCTTGATTCTTGATTAAACTTATAAAAAAATAACTTAAAATTTTAAAGTTACCTACTTCTTTGATCACTGTTACAAAGCAGGTCTCCCACCTACACGTCTTTCCCCTGCACTAAAACACTTGAACAGCAACCAGCCAGAGTTACTGTCTTAAAACCTACTCAAAAACTCCAAGTATTCCACTGTCTGCAGGATGGAAATATGAGTTCCCAAAAATAATAACCCATACCCTGCAACGCTACTCCTAATCTCCCAAACCTGTGTCCCTCTCCTTTATAGAATACTCCTAATCCCATTCAGACCAAGTCTAAGCATCTCCACCTGCTCGATAGAGCTTTTTTGACCACGATAACCTACCGCAATACTGCCCTGGACAGTTAGGAATTTTTCTCTTCATCTCTTCTCCTCTGACACACACAGGACAGCCTTCCCCTCTACTCTGCACAGTGTGTCACACACTATTTAACTTTGGGCTTGTGGTCTACCTACTCAACGAGTCACCCAAGAACAAGGATCTTTCTTCATGCCCCTCCATTCCCTACCCAGTAGGCTGTGCAATGCCTTAGTACACCAAGGAGTGATCTCAGATCAATGAGTGCTCCAAAAGCATCTCAAAAAAAACAAAACTCAAAAAGCTTTTTCAAGGCAGCTCAGAGCTGCTTCCAATTCTGAGAAAGGAGCAAACGCTGGCATGAGCTTCTTCACTTTACACTTTATACACGTACTGTTTACATCACTGGCACATGAGAGGGCTAGAGACAAACAACAATCTTGAATTAAAAACAATATAGCAGATTCTGACATTCTGGGTGGGGTGCCAGAAGTCCACCATGAGATTACCATGGGATCGCCAATAAAGTGAGGGGACCCTTGTTAAAAGCCTCACAGCTCCCACTAAATAAGCTCCTAGTCTCATTGGACTTCAACACTACCAGGGTCCACAATGATGTGATGGTGTGGCCTCTACTTGAGAGATAAGTGACCTACCCAGAGCCATTTGAAGCAACAGAAGAGCCAAGAACATTACTGATTTCCAGAACATTACTTTAACAAGCCCACACCCCCTCCAAATATAACCCAGTCCCTTCTGTGAACACCCTAGATATTGCTGGATGTTCCTCATCGTCCTACTTCTATCACCCTTTGCCCAAATCATGTTAAAGCTTTTTTAAGTAGTAGAAAGATGTCACCCTGCCTTTCTCACTGTCCCCTGCCCTGGTGGATTTACTCACTAGGGGTCATTGGTGAATCTAGGAAGTCGTGGCTGTGGAAAGCCATAGAGGTGACAGTAGAGGACGTCAAAGCAGTAGCAGCACATCTCTGCAGTCACCACCAGATTCTTGGTGGTGTTGGCAGTTCCATTGGGTCGGGGAAGAGGGCTCAGAGCTCCCGATGCGGGATTCATTCGTGTAATGGGAGAGTTTCCAGGTCCCAGAGTTAAGTCCGACACATTCTCCCGACCACTGCTGCCATCCACATGCTGGTGGTTTTGAAGAGGTCCTGAACTAGAGCCGGGGACAATTGTGGACTGATTCCCGTGAGTGTGCGTTCCACTTCCAGATAACTTGGGCTTCTTGACCCCACAACAACCTGCTGCCAACTTGGGCTCGAGTGGAGGAACACAACGTCTTTTTCCCATCCTGATTCAGTGCTCGAGGTCCGGAATGCTACAGAACCCTAACCAAAGAGAATAGGTAAGCATTAACTCAAATGATTAGCTAAAAAGAGAAAAACCAAAAGAAAGAGTCTCCACAGAGACGCAAGAGTCATCAACTCTCTCTCTCACCAGGTCACATGGTCACAAAGGGTCAAAGACCAGCAGGGCTACAAGAAACCCTGAGTTCCAGGGCAGGAACTCCCAATCCTTTTCCTAAAGAAGAACGTTTTATTTTCCATAAAGCTATGATCACCACGGGCGGAGGCAGACAGCAAGGTTCTCTCTTGCTCAGGACTCTCCTGGGCAAAAGGAAGGGTGGGGTGGCAGCCACTGTGAAGCTAGATGATGGAGGACATTTCAAGACTGGCTAGAAGATTGCATTTGACCCACCAGACTCTCCACCAGGTTGCTTTCTCTATCACTTTAGAGGATCCCAGAGGAACTTTCATGGTTTTCCTTGTTGGCCACATCCTTTCAGCATTTTCCTCATCACTAACCTAAATATACATGTAACTTCAGCCCCAGATTTTAGTGAAGGTGGAAAGCAGTTAACTGCCACTCTGGAAAGAACCCACTTCTAACACAAGGCTCCCATCTTTCTGCCCTCACAGATATCATTCTTCAATGACACTCATTTTCTTTGGTTCTCAGAACTCACTCCAATTTTTACACATCTCTCTATCTTTTTAAGACCTCATTCAAGAAACGCTACAACCCAGTATAAAACCTTTATTCATACAAATGACCCAAGCTTCACAGTCCTTTTGTGAGGTAGCCATTCTGCCCTGTCATAGCAAAGCAAACATAGGCAATGCCACTCAGCCTAACACAATGTGGCATCAGATGAATCGGCCAGAAAACCACAGTGTGTCATCTGGTGGGAGGATCTTCTTACTAAATTTTTTTCTTAAAAAGGCTAAGGTAAAAATGTATAGCTATAACATGACTGAGATCCTCTTTCTGTTGTGTCCATAATCAACAGAATCAGGAAAAAGAGATCCTAGTTATTTCAATATTGATTATATCAAAGTTTATAAAACATTCTGTTAACTTGAGAAAAGTATACTGTTTTTTCTCAAGTCATTACATTTTAGTTTTAGCCTTCCCCCAAATAATATATGTATTACTTTACCTAAAATTTTTTTCTGACTTGAACACAGGGCACATAACTGTCTTTTTAGGCATTGCTCTACAACATAGTGTTTTGGTTATAAATTCTACAGCCTTTTAAGTCAAATTAGATATTTACCTATTTGCAATGCCATTATTTCTATAAAAACAGCCTATCACTTTAAGTTGAATGAGATACAAAAGTTCACAAATACTACTTGTTTATGTTTGTGATATATGCTGATCCATAATAAAATACACATTTTTGTGTCTAGGCCAATTCTTACTGAGATGAAAGTTGTTGTTGAGGAATAATACCTTGTACACTTCGATGTCTGGCTTGAAACAGGTTTCTTTTTAAGAAAGCCTTATGCACTCGATCCATTAAAACTTCCAAAAACTATACTGCTTCTGAGCATGGACTTCATTGTCTTGTTCAGACAATTAAGAGAGGGAGCAGAATGTCTTGGTTGAATAATACTGACTCCAGAGCCAACTGGCCTGGGTACAAATCCTAATCTCTTCAGGATTACCTCTTTGACTCAAGTTTCCTCACCATGGAATTAACAGTACTTGCCTTGTGGGGTTGTCAGGAGAATGAGTTTAATATGTGTGAAGTGCTTAATACAGTGTCTGGCATGTGGTGTCAAGTTTATTCAGCTGCTCTCACCACCTGGGCTTTGTTTAACTGCTCCAACCAGTATGGAACTCCTGGAAGGCCAGGACTTCACTGTGTAGTGCTTGCACCGAAAAGGTGCTCTCTAAACAGGGTTTCACAGAGCCCCCAAATCACTCAGCAAGGCAGACAATGTGACCATCATTTTACATAGGTGGGACCTCAAGCTTAATAAGCCAGACTACCTGCTCAAAGCTAGACTGCGACTAAGTGGCAGAGTTAGAACTAGGACCACAATCTATCTGTTAGACTCCAATGCCTCAGTTTTCCCATCAAGTCACAAAGTGTGAGGCCTGCCAATACCAGCCATCGGATCCAGTCCCTTTACTAAGGGCATGATGAAAAACAAATTACATCAAGGGTATATTAAAAACTAGCCTAATAGTTTGCAGAATCTTGCCAACAAAAATGGAGCAAGAAAAAATATTCAAAACCAACACCTCAGCCATCACTTGGACAATTACCAATTCTCCTGACACTGTCCTTTGAGTTCACAATGGATGTCACTGGCCTCTGAGCTCTCATTTAACTTTCTACCTTGTATGTAACAGTACAGAGGGGGTTTAGGATATGTGTTGAATGAAGCAGCAGAAGAATCTCTAGAGAGCTGGAGTTTTAACATGCCAACAGGGCCGGGAAGCTATGTCTCCAGAGAGCCCCTAAATTCAAAGAAACAAAGAAAAGCGATGAAACACAAAGGTTAAAAAAAAGAAATCTTTCCTGATTCTCATCACGTCAAAGCACACCTGAAGGAAGAACTAAATGTTATGAGATTGTAGCAACTCCGGTGCTTCTTAGCAGGTGTGATGAGCTACCCGACGAGTGAAACAACCTAGAACAGCACAATAGAAGAGATTTTCACACCATGCCAGGGCAAAAGACCTGAAGTCTGGGAATATTCTGCCTATACACAATGTACAACCAGTGATCTGCAGTGGGAATGATCACAACAGATTAAATTTAACAATCCCCCCCCCATCTATAATTTGAAATCAATAGAACCAACCTAAATCTTGTGGCTCTTTAAACCCAAGCAAATCTCAGGAGGCCACTAAACAATTCAATTCATCTTCTCAAGTAGTAACCAAAGGCACTGCTATAGACTCTCTGCATCAAAGATATATTAAAGGCACTGCTTTAAAATTTTATCCTATAAAATTAAGTCTATGAAAACTTCTGGTCAAGATGGCAGAGTAGGTAAATGCAGTACTTACATTATCCCACAACCACACAAAAATTACAACTAAACCACAGAACAACCATCATTCAGAACCACCTGAAATCTGGCTGAATGAAATTTTAACAACTAGAGAAATAAAGAAGCCACCCTGAGCCCTACATGGTTTTTCTCAGTGGTTAGAGAGCACATCGGCCCACCGACTGAAGGGTCTTGGATTCGATTTCGGTCAAGGGCACCGTACCCAAGTTGCAGGCACCATCCACAACCCAGGTTTGGGTGCTGCAGCAGGCAACCAATGGATGTGTGTCGCTCACATTGATGTTTCTCTCTCTCCCCTCCTTCCACTCTCTATGAAAAGCAATGGAAAAAATATCCTCGGGTGAGGATTAAAAAAAGAAAGAAAAAAAAAGAAGCCACATTGAGATGGGTAGCGTGCAGTGGTTTAAAATAGGGCTGGATATCTTGGCTCTGGAGGTTTCCCTGAGGAACGAGAGGTCCAAGCCTGACACCAGGACCCCCCAACCCAGGGTTCCAGAGCTGGGAAGAGAAGTTCTCACAACTTCTGGCTGTAAAAATCAGCCAGGATTGTGGCTGAGTGACACAGAGGCTGCTAGAGCCCCAGACAGTTACTCTTAAAAGGCCCATGCAAGACTTACACAGACTCACTCCCACTAAGCTCTAGCATTGGAGCAGCAGCTTGAAAAGTTCGAGGGATATACAGGGAGGAATTAAATTGTCTGGCATCAGGGTAAGAACTGGGGGGAAGTTTTCTCCCAGACAAAAGTGCTGACAGAGGTCTTTGTACATTTGCTGAGAACTCCCCACCACAGTGCTGACAGATAGTCACCATATTTGAACATCAACCTGGCTTACACTGTTCGCCCAGCCCTGGTGAGTACCTGAGATCCTGCCCCACCCAATTCACAGCCTCATCCAAGCTGTTTGCAGTGGCTTTTCCATATGAATGGCCTGTCCTAGCTCAGTCTTCAGACTCCCCTAAAACCTATCAAACAAGCAACAGCTGGCCTCAGCATGTCCCATACTTTTCAATAAGGGGCCCCAGGCCCAGCACTAGCAGCAGCCTGCCTTGGTTCACAGCTTGGCCTCTCCTGGGAACCTCCAAGCCTCAGACAAACAGCAGGCATCTGAAGATTACTCTGTAGCTCGTGCCGGGTGGCACCAAGCAGCCCACAGGCAGTAGCTGACTTTGCAATTCCCAGGAGGCCCCAGAGACAGTGTACCTAGTGGTCAGTTTCAGACAACACCAGATTATCATCCTACCACTCCCATGAGTGACACACTCAAGGGGCAGACTTGGTGAGGACCAAAGCCCCACTGAAGCAAATCCTGCTTCATAGAAGTTTCTCCTGCACAGCAGCAATTCCGTTGTAGTTACAGCCAGTAAGCACAGTCAGTTGGCCTGGGGGTTAATTTCTCCCAGTGACACCAACAGCAATCAAGGCTCAACTACAACAGGGCAGTGCACACAGGCCACACAGGAGAGCACCTAGAAGGCCTAGCTCAGGTGACTGGGGAGGCTGAGCCACTGGACCCTAGAGGACACCTACTACACAAAGCCACTCTACCAATTCTATGAAACAGAAGCTCCGCCTAATACATAGAAAGAAACACAGGGAAGCAGCCAAAATGTGAAGATAAAGAAACCTGTCACAGCCCGGCCAGGCATGGCTCAGCGGTTGAGCATCGACCTGGGATCCAGGTGGTCGGGGTTCGATTCCCGGTCAGGGCACATGCCCAGGTTGTGGGCTGTATCCCTGGTAGGGGGCGTGCAGGAGGCAGCCGATCAATGACTCTTTCATCACTGATGTTTCTCTCTCTCTCCTTCCCTCTCATTTCCTCTCTCTGAAATCAATAAAGATATATTTAAAAAAAAACAACAAAACAAACAAACAAAAAGAAACCTGTCACAAATGAAAGAACAGAAGGAATCTCCAAAAACAGAGCTAAATGAAACGGAAGCAAGCAAACTACAAGATACAGAGTTCAAAACAATGGTTATAAGGATGCTCAGGAACTTAACGAGAATTGAAAGA